ACAGTTAATGAATCAAGGTTGATTTATTATTATTTAATAAAAAAGTCCACACTTTACTCATATTTCCTTAGTGTTTCTCTAAAGTCCTTCTTCCTGTTCCAAGATGCAATTCTGGTTTTCTTTCAATTTAGAAGTCAACCATAGGAAAACTATTTAAGCTAATATAACAAATACAAGCCAAAAAGACTAAAATGGGCTTCTCAAGGCATCCTAAGCCAAAGAAAAATACAAACATTGGATGAAACACCATCAAGTCATCCCTTCAACAATCCAACCTTCATCAATAGCAACAGGAATCACCACTCTGGAGAACTTATACTTTTCAAATACGAGTATGTAATGAGTTTCCCTTATGTAAAAAGTGACTCATAGCTGACCGTTCTGGATTTCAAAGAACAAGGCCAGATGACAGTAAAAGTGTCAGAAATGAGTACATGATTAACTGGAGAGTGAATTAATTAAACAGGCAAAAATTGCCATAAAAACGGAAACAAGGGAGAAACATCACAATAGATTAGAAAAGGAAAGTTAACCTTTCTGGGCTAGTTTCTTTATTTCCAATGAGAAGGTATTAGCCCAAATTAACTCTGAGATCCCCTTTTGTTTCTACATTCCACAATTCCTTCTCATTTCTCAGCCTTCAACAACACAGTGAGATAGGCAGCACAGATATCCCCACCCTATGCCCATCAGAGATAAGGCCCTGTTCTCAGCCACAGAGGGGCTTCCACGAAGTGCCTTCCACCACAAATGTAGAGCTTTTCCTGCCCCACGATGAAAGGAAGCCTCCCTTTAGGCCATGGATACTAGCAAACTATCAAGTAACTACCTTGATGTTAGCTATTGCACTATGTAAAATAAGACACTACCAATAATTTGAACTTGAAAGAAATATATCACATTACCTTAAAGCTATGTTATGTCATTTACATGCTCCACTAGGCTCAACCAAGCACTTTTGCAAAGCAAAAGAAAACAAAACACAAACACAAAACCACAAACAAAAAAACGCTCCTTACAAATAGGCTACCCAGAGATTTCAGATTTTCCATAACATTTCTTATTTTATACATTCTTTAAAGCAAAGTTTCCTAACCTACTGACACTTTGGGCTGGAAACTTCTATGTGATTGGGGGATAGGGAGGGCCATCCTGTACATTGTTAAACAGCATCCCAGGCTTCTACCCACTAGGTGCCAGTAGTACCTGCTCACCAGCCTCCCCCACCCCACCAAATTGTGACAACCAAAAATATCTCCAGACATTGCCAACTATCCCATAGGGGAGAGACAGCATCCCAGGCTTCTACCCACTAGGTGCCAGTAGTACCTGCTCACCAGCCTCCCCCAACCCACCAAATTGTGACAACCAAAAATATCTCCAGACATTGCCAACTATCCCATAGGGGAGAGGAGAGGGTAAAACTGCAGCTGGTTGAGAACCACTGCCTTTAAGCAATTCATAATATGTAGAAATAAATATAAGATTTCAATAGCAATGTAAGATTTCAGTGTGAATTAAATGGCTATTTTAAAAAACCTTTTATTAGATCATATAAACCAGTATTTGTCTCAGAAAATATAATCACTATGAAGATCAAAGAAGCAGAATCATACTTTTTCTTCTCAATTGTTATGAATTAGTGCTTTTTAAAACAATAACTATAATGTACAGATTTAATAATGCCCTAGAAACAAGGAATTTGGGTTAGAAATCATTTCTTAATGCTTTCCATCCCAAAATTCTAAAGTAAACATCAATCCTACAACCAGCAGCCAAGTCAGTCAAGCATGAGGCAGAAATTGGTCTGGGCAAGAGTCCAAAACGGACAACTCATGACCACTGGGTGCCACCCACCCACACACATGCCACCTCGTAGGACCACAGAATCACTGCCCAAGGGTCACTTGGCCACCAGCAATTAAAACAGGCCTAAAAGAAATTAAGTCTAGGGAAAGAAGAGAAATCCAATTGGGAAAGATGCACCTAATAAATGATTTAGGCATGTCCCCAGGTTTCTTACATGTTACTCCACTTAAGAGTGGAGGTTGAGAGAAACACTTCAATAATCAACAGTTAAAGAGGATGAAAGAGTTCTCAAGAAAAACCTGAGAGACTGCAGGTTGGGGCCATGTGGCTTTTGAAACTCATTTTAGAAGTTATCCCTTAAAATCATAAAAAGGAACATTCCTTATTTTTGCAGCTAAGAAAGCTTTTCTCATCTTTTATTAGGTGTCACTATGAACATATAGAAATTGCCACCACCACATATTTGGGTCAGAACAAGGCTTAAATCTACCCTATCAGCTGGGCTGCAAGGGTACGTGGACAACTCTTTCCTTTAAGGAGGGGTGCAGAGGGGTGTGCTAGCAGAAAAGTGAGGGATTCAGATGGTTGCTAAGGTGGCTGAGAGAGACCCAGGCAGTTCCCACCTGCACCTGGGAGACACTGATCACCCACCAGCACCTGGAAACAGTGCACAGAGAGGCTCCTCCAAGGTGGGCTCAGAGGAAAGGCTCATCAGAAATCTGTGGATTTCAGGAGCCCGATAACCATCGAAGAGTCGCCCACCATGCAGGCTGCTCTGCAGCTGCTCTCTTCTGCAGAGTATCTTTGGTTCCACCTTGTCTGTCTCAGACCAAATTCCACCCAAGGGAAGGAGCGCACATAAAGAGAGAACTGGCTATGCCCGGTTCCTGCAGGCAGGCAGGCAGGTGGCTGGTAGGGAAGAAATCACCCAGGAGGATCACTGAGTTCACCTGTGCAGTAGTAATCACGCTAAATGGTAATCAAGGCATAGAATCACTTACACTAAGGATCATTAACCAGGAGCTTGGGCCTCTTGACAACAGGTGAGAGTTCACAAGGTGAAAAAAATGCATTTGGATAAAGGGGCAGCGTCCTGTGGCTGAACACACGGTCTGAGTCATTTCAGGAGAAGGTCACATCAATGGCAAGAAAGGGGCAGAACCAAATGGAGGGGTGGGGGGAAAGGGGAACATATTTCTTTCTTCCACAGCTGCATTTAACATGCTTGGGTTTATTTTCTGTTCTTCCTCATCCCTTATGATATAACTTATCTCACATGCAAAGCAGTTTCCAAGTAAAGAATTATAAACAGGTAAGGTTTGTGGGGTTTGTCTCGCCAACTTCCCATTTCTCAACAGAAACATCTCCTTTTAGGGTCAAGGTTCAGCTCCACACTTTCAAGTCACAAAAAAAGATGGCCTTTCCCTATTTACTGCCCTGCCTTGCTGTTTCTCCCATATCCCGGGACCTAACAATTCTCCAGGAAAACAAGAAGTCACCATCAAGCAAATAGGGTCAGAAGTTCAATTTCACACATTACAAACTGCCATGGTTTTGAAGATTTCTGACAAGTGTTCTTTCTGACATGCTTCAAGTGCTGCCCAAGCTCGGGCTCCCGCCTCCTCACCACCACCTCCTGTGCCACTCCTCAAAACCAATGAGCGTGCCTGGCTCAGCCTTGGGCTAAGGCGGCCTGACATCTTCCCTGTCAGCAGAGTCACCCCAAAAGTGCAAGCGCTGCCCTGGCATTCCCTTCTGGAACTACATAATCGTAATTCAATTTTCCTCAAGTTATATATTCGACATAGAGCATTATTTGTGACTTCACTAAGAAAATAAAAGTAGAACCACTCTCTCTAACTTAAAGAAAATATAAGTGCCCCAGTGTTACTTTTTCTTAAAGGGAATAAAGGTTTATATGCTTGGAGGCTGAGCAATGTGGGGAAAACAATGAATAATGATCTATCAAGTATTTCCATGCACAGTTTTTAAAAGTTCCTAACTGAACCTCTATCCATATAAGAGCAAAATGATTTAACCTGTGTGAACACATGTGCAAACTAAAGTTAGAAGTCATGTGACTCATTCCTAAGTACTTCTTATAAAGGTTATGAAACAAATAAGGTGTCTATATCCCAGGAGGCAAGCCTGAAACAATAAAGAACACCTGTCCCATCCCAACTGAGCTGAGTGTATCAGCTATGCTTTAAACTGAATTTAAACAATGAAGTCTAAAAAGAAAAAAATAAATAAATAAAAGATCTGTCCTCATTTCACCTGGG